TTTTATTAAGTAAGTTGACGTGACTAGATTTAAACTTGATTTTATTAAGTTGATCAAATCAAATTTCATTATTTTTTTTATTGACTCAATATAAAACTCAACTTGAACTAAACTGATGTAGATGAAAGTTAAAGACAGCAAAATAAAAATAAAAAAACACGGGGATTTAATGAGTAAAAAAGATTATCAATGTTAACCTCAAGTTCACAGGTTTTATTTTTCTCTAGAAGAACAATGATAAACTCTATTTCATGAGAGATTTATAAATCCTTAAATAGGCTATAAAACCCAGCCTTATTAGAAAAAAAGACTCCAATATTACAAAGAAAAAAGGTATAAAATCTGAAAATAAAAGAAAATCACAAAAACTATCAAAACCAAGGCTTAAGGTGAGATTTTCAAAATCTAAAGATTTGACGGTTGGAATAGCAATTCCATCTAGTTATAACCCTTTTTGACAAAGTTAGAAACTTGTTCTAGTAACCTAGGCTAATAGTAATAATATGTGGCTACTAGAATTAATGTCTTATCTTGTTAGACTAATAGTAATTTGTGGCTACTAGAATTAATGTCTTATCTTGTCTAAAATATCCTTCATAGTACAATTCATAAATGATATGCTCTTATAAAAAGCAAATTGGAACATAAAGCTGTGAATTAGAAAAAAAGATAACCATATAAAATCATGTAGTTATCTTGTTTACCTTCCTCTGATAAATCATCATAAATCTAACCAAACGAGGCATCACCTGAATATAGCTCGTAGAAAGAATCAAATCCTAACACATGCGTGTGTATGGTATTGAGTAAAGTCACACATCAACTGAGAGCATTAACCATCTTATTTAAATTGTCTAAGTGGTGTTTTAATGAAAAAGTAAACTCCTATAAAATGACATTCACTTCTCATATTGACGACTCAGCATACACTACTCATTCATGTACTTTAGAGCCTCATGGTTAGTAATTAAAATAAATATCTTTTGCATGACTCCAATGCTTTAAAGTCTGAACAATAACGTAAAACTCCAAATCATAGGTGAAATAGTTCTATTTTTAACTGAATAATTTCTCACTAAAAAAAAGAAGATAGGGCGTCTATCTTGGCTAAAAACTCCCCAAATACCCTATTCTTAAAGCATCACAATTTATTTCAAATTGTTTCTCAAAGTCTGGTAATGCCAAAGTTAGAGCTTTGATCATTTTCTGCTTTACTAATTAAAAACTAGTTCCAGCCTCATTTGTCTACTGAAAATTACATCTCTTTAAGCATTCTATAATTGATGTGATAAAAGAATTGAAGTTTTTGATGAATCTTCTATAAAAAGATGCAAGGTCATGAAAACTTTGTACATTATGGATGTTTTTTAGTGTTAGCCACTCAACAATTACAAAGATCTTATTTTGATCAACTTGAATACCAACAATATATACAATAAAGCCTAGAAAAACAACAATATTAGTAAAGAATTTATATTTTTTTTGGTTGACATCCTACTATTCCTTCCTTAAAGTGTAAAAAACAACTCTTAGATGTTCTCAATGGAACTCTAGAGCAGGACTATAAATGAGAATATCATCAAAAAAGATGATGATAAATTTGCCCATGAGTGACTTCAATACCTAATACATGAACCTCATGAATATGCTAAGAGCATTAGACAATCTGAATGGCATGACCATCTACTCATATAACTTATAGTAAGTTTTAAAGGTTATTTTATATTCACCCCACAATCTAGTTCTAATTTGGTGATACTCATTCTTGAGATCAATCCTGGAAAATAACTTAAACTCTGTTAATTGATCTAATGCGTCATCTAGACGCAATATGGGGTACTTGTATTTTATTGTGATTTGGTTTCTAACCTAACTACCCATACATGTATGCTATAACCTATCATTTTCAGGAACTAAAAGGGCTAACATGATATAAGGACTTATACTTTTGCGGATATACCTTTTTTTTTTTTCTAGCAACTCCAAAACTTTCATCTACAACTTTGACTTTTTTAGGTATAAGTCTGTAAGCTGTATTGTTTGGCGAGCTGCAACCCGACATCTAGTCAATCTATTGTTGTATCTTTTTTATGAGAGGTGAACCTTAAGACAGCTCATTTAACATTAAATCTAAAAATTATGTCAGCACACCCGTGCCTTTTCAAGATTGTCATCCTCTTCTTCATCCTCTTTTAAGGTTGTACTTGTAAGAATTAGAGCAAACACCATTTGCTTACTCTTTATTTTGTCTATAAACTATATTAAGGACAACAAATTCTTCCCACTATCAACCTTTATCTCCCTTATAGGTGTCAAAACTATACTCTTTCTTTTAATACTAAGGGTATGAGTATTCTTCCTACCATCAAGAACCACACTCTTGTTAAACTATCATGGCCTCTCTAGTAGGATATGATAGGCATCCATCGAGACCATTTTGCACTAAGCACTATCAAAGTATTTTTGACCCATAAAAAAAGAAACAAGAAAACGTTTATCCATAATTACCTCGATATTTTATTAAGTCATGTCAGTTTGTAGGGCTTGTTATAGTTTTCAATCACCAGCTAAAGTTTCCTTATTACCTCCGTAGAAACCATATTCTCACAGTTCTTATTATCTATGATCAAACTACAGACTTTATCTTTGATGGTACATGTAGATTGGAAGATACTATTATGCCTTCGATCTTTATCAGAACCCTTGGTTGCTAACAAGCTCTTTCTAATCACGAGGGTTGTACCGTCATCTCTATACAAAATATCATAATCGCTGTTAGAATCATCTTCATTCTTTGTAAAATTTGATGTCTTTTCCTCTAATAATAAATTGTTTCTTAAACAACTTTTTAGTTTTCTACACTTGCTAATTTGATGTCCTAGCTCACCATTTCTAAAATAATGAAGTCTAAAACAGAACCTTGACCTATTGCTTGCTAAATTTATTGGTTTGACCTAGGTTTAGTTGGTGGTCTACCTTGGTTTACTACCATATCTTCTATTAGTCCATTTTGACCAAAAGTTTAAGTTAACATTTTGAAAAGTTTGTTGCTTCTCCACTATTAAAGCCCTCTAATATGCCTTTGACACTATGCACAAAAACTAAAGACACAAGACATCCTGAATAAATTATCATAAGATACTAAAGTACTGTATCATCACCTACTCCTCTATTTTTGCCAAATCATTCTTTAAAACCAGTCAATAAAACTCATCAATAGAATCATTAATAAATTTACCTCATTATTTTAATGTTTGGAGCCTCTGATATAAAGTTTGTAAGTAGTCAAAAGAAAGAAAGTATTCTCTCATCTTTTTCTTCATCTTGTCCTAATCATTGATTTTATTTTTCCCTTATTTCTTTTTTGTCTTCTTCATTTGCTCACCAAGCAGATGCCCTACCCTTTAATTTGATTGCAACTAACTTCACTCATGTTTGTTTAGCTACATCTTTGTATTAAGAAGCCCATTTAATCTCATTCAAGTAGTTAATGAATTCTTCTACCTGTAAAGTCCTTGAAACCTCAGAAATTTTGATATAAAATCCAAAATCCCCAAATCTGTTCTATTCTCATTTAAAAGGTAGTCTCCTCTAAACCCGTTTCAGATTTTTAGTTCTAACTCACCCATGATCACTCTCCTGGTCCTGGTCACGTTGTTCCTAGTTTTGCAAGTCCCTCTCCTGTAGCCTACATGTTAATTCTGCAATCTGCCTTTGCATGTTTTCGATGATAAGCTCTTGGACATTCTTGTCTTGGTCTCCTCTAAACCCGTCTCAGATTTTTAGTTGTAACTCACCCATGATCACTCTCCTAGTCCTGGTCACGTTGTTCCTGGTTTTGCAAGTCCCTCTCCTGTAGCCTACATGTTAATTTTGCAATCTGCCTTTGCATGTCTTCGATGATAAGCTCTTGGACATTCTTGTCTTAAATGAGGGTTCCTTCTTATCCTTTTCTTGGTTCCACCTTACTTCACGACCTCTTCCCACTATGGTTTGTTAGCGCACAAAGTGGTAAACAAATTCTCTTTCACGGGATTGTAATATACAACTCGCAATAAATTTGAAATTATTGGGTTTTGATACCAATTAATAAAGGTGGAAGCTAAAGACAACAAAACAAAGAAAGAACACGAGAATTTTAATTAGCGAAAGGAGCTTTCAATGTGAACCCAAAGTTTGTTGGTTGTATTTTCTCTAAAATAACAATGATCAAGTTTCCCTTTTAGAAGATTTACAAAGTCTTAAATAAATCAAAAATCCTACCTCAACTAGGAAACAAAAATAAGAATTCGAGATTATAAAGGAAGGAAGCACAAAATTTAAAAATAGCATGAAATCCAAAAATAACTAGGAAAATCATAAAAACTGTTAAAATTAGGGCTCCAGGGTGAGATTTTCAGAATTTAACAATCCAACAGTTAGAGTAACGATTCATCTAGTTATGATCTTTTTGAGCTATTAGTCTGGTCTGATGCGACCAAACTTCTTCTTGGACTAGACTTGCCCCACTGGTCCATAAAGATCTCTGCTAGACTATTTATGTAATATGTTTAGGGTAAATATTTATCTAGTTATAGCAAATTTACACTTAATTACTAAGAATTACTCATTATCATAAATTTAGTTAAGATCTAAACTAACAATAAATTCTCTAGATCAACATAAAAATAAATTAAGTTTAATGAATATATTTTTTATCTAGACACCTAGGAAGGAAAAATAGTGAAAAATGACTGGATAACTATACCCTTACCCTTACTTAGCATAAAAAAAAAAAAAATAGTGAAATTTGGGCCCTTACCCTTACCCTTACCCTTACCCTTACCCAGCATAAAAAAAAAAAAATTGTGAAATTTGGCAAAGGGAAGGGAAGGGACCCATACCAGGGAGACACAAATTGAATTCACGAGCGTGACATTTTTTATCCGTGAAATTTAACGTCCAAAGCACGTTAAAACATTGCTTTGAAAAAGCTAAAGCGCGGGTTAGGCGTTAAAGCTAACGGTGAATACCAAAACTTGGCAATCATTGTCCTCCACCTCTTTCGTCTCCAACTCTACTCCCACCAAAATATACTCCCAAGAAATTTACCTCACCGGAATCTTACCGGAAATTGTACCAATCTCCTCTCTTTATGGTTGATTTCAACATCGTAAAGGTAATTATTACTAATTGTCTATTTAGATAAAAGATTGATTATTCCTCGAGTTTTTTCTTTGAAAATTGATCAAAATCTTGTTCAGAAATTTTTCTTTTTGTTTTTTTATGCAAACTCTTTACGTTTTTTTTCCTTTCCTTTTCTTGTTCTTTTCGCATGTTTCGAATTTTTTTGGTTGATGTCAACATGCCTTTTTCTTTTGTTTTCTTCTTCTTATTCCTACTCCATGCGGGTTGTAAAGAAGCAACTAAAGCTGAAGGGCTTAAAGTGACACAAGAGATTTCCACTATGTTTTTCAACAATCGGATCTCTACCATTCAGTCTCTTTCGTTAGCTGTATAGAGGGCGGACATGCATGAGGGTTTATGGTGTTTTTTTGGAATTAGGGTTACAGTGGTTTACGTGAGGTATAATTATGATATATACATGTACTCTGTGTTATATATATGTATATACACATGCAGTGAAAAGGGTGAAACGTTAGACCAAGACTGAGTTTATTCAAGTTGTTGAGTATCATCAAGCCTGCAAGATTTTTGCACTGTTCCTTCGGTTGGGAAAGCCCTACCGTTTGGCTGTAAACACTCCAAAAGTTAAAGAAAAAATGATGACGACGACGACGAGAATAGTAAAAAAAGTCTTTGTACAGATTTGAGAGCAGAGACCCCTCCATCCCTCCCTGCCTCTCTCTCTCAGTTACGATGAACCTCTAGAATTGTTAATGCTTTTCTTGTTTTCCTTAGTCTGATGAATGTGTTTTCCTCCTTCTAGATTTATGCCGTCATTAGTGTGTGTAAAATGGAGAGCATTAATTAATATTCTGTGAAACGTAATCTCTGTAACATGATGGTATTGCAGGGATTTTAAGTTCATAGAGTTTCAGGACTAGCTTTGATGGGTGTTCGAAGATACGGATTCTTGTTCAAGGAGGCAATCTTGGCCGTAAGTTGGCTAGTGAGCTCACTAGAGAGATTCCAGTGAATATAAGCAAAATCGGATAGTGGCTTCGAAGAATTAGATGGAATCAAGAAGTTTTAGGCCTGAATCACATGTAGCACAGCAAAGCCGGAGAGATAAGTTGAGAGGTCAACAAAGTTTAACCTCAGTTCAGTATTTAGATGACTACCCTAAAGGTTTGGCACGTGTATCTGTCAATCCAGGGCTAAGCCCAGATCTTGTTCACGTTCGAAATATTAGGAATGACAATACGATTTATGATTCCACTATGTTTTCCCCAGAAATTCTCAATTTTGCAACAAGTTCTCATGTACTATCAGCTCCTAAAGTTTCAATTGTTGATCAAGAACTAGGTGCAGTACCGCTCAATAGGCCTATCCTCGCTGAGGATTCTTCTTTCACTGGTATGACGTCTCACCCAGTTTTATCCAACTTCAATGCTTCACACAAGGCCAGTAGCTGTGACCCACAAGGTTGTGGTAATTGGAGAAGCCTTGACTCACAGCAAAGTTATGATTTGATGGTGAATTATGCAGGTGGATCAGTAGGTGGGGAAAGAAATCAGAAACCTGTGTTTGTTGGGGAAGTCTTGTCAAATAATGCAAGGGTAAGCAACATTTCAACATCTAGACAATATTTGATGCCTAGTTACAATGGAAACCAGAATGTTCAGCTTCCATCTACGTTAAGAAATACCTTTGGTGAAATTTCAAGTGAAGATAGCATCAAGCAGTTGAGGGTGATGCAGGTTCCTTCTCTTCCACCTTATCAAAACGCAGCCCAAGATGTCATTCCTTCTGGTTGTTTTAGGCCCATAATGAATGAGCGCGTTCTCCATCCATCATTTGTAACTGATTCAACTGCTTCACATTTTGATAATAACGGCAGTACATGGATGAGCAGACCACTCGAGAACTACCATCACTGGAGTACTGGTGAGTTGGGTCTTGTTGAAAGGACGAGTGACCAAGAGATGATGACTATTACTAGTGATGCTAATAATCAGGGTTTATCTTTGTCGCTTTCATCAATTAATCCACCATCTAAAGTTGAAGTTGCCCATTTTGGAGAGGAATGTGCATCTGAACATTTACAATTGAAGGTGGCCGATCGTGTTTCCCAAGAATCTCATCAAGATTCAAAATTTTTCAAGTCGAGTTCTCTGTGTGCTTTGCCGAAGCCATCAATTATGAATAAAAGTTGTGGAAAATCGATTCATAACATCGTGGGGACTTCTACACATGCGCTTCGGAACACTGGTCCTCTTGGACCTTTCACTGGATATGCAACTATTCTAAAGAGTTCAAAATTCTTGAAGCCAGCTCAGCAACTGCTGGAAGAATTCTCTAGTACAGGTCCAAAACACACGAGAACATTTGAGATGTCTGATGATCAAGTTACTGCTCCAGCTTTGGCTGACATTATTAATGAAGCCAATGAAAAGGCTGGAACTAACGCCAAGAATTACTCGGGCATCCCATCCTCTATATTTTACTGTTCAAATAAGGCAAGTAGTGGTGATGATGTAGGTGGAAGCGGCGGCTCTTGTGGATCTTATGGGCCAGAATACCAACAAAAGAAGGCAAAGCTCCTGTTATTGCAAGAGGAGGTTGGTTTTTCTACTCTACACATCTCTCGATTTTTTTTTAGGATTTCTTTTTAGATTAATATGCATCCAATCTTCTCCTTACCACTAATTATAAGGAAAATATCCTTCGGTGTGTCTATGTTTGTTTTTTGAAAAGGCAAGATGATTGCATTGATTAAAAAAATTCACAGTACACAAGGCCAAAACCCAACAAGTCGTTATCTTGTAATGACAGCATTATTGCTGTGAAAAGAAAAGAGTGATCAGCAGCATCACAATGCTGGTTTTCTTACTGTTGATTTTCCTAGTTTAGCTAAAGTTTGGTAAGCCAAAGAGAATGCACAGTGTAATCGCTGTTAATTTCTCCTTTTGACATCCAACGAAGTTGTTTATGTACTTATTCATTATCATTCAGTAATTACCTTAACAATACTACGATTACATCGGGACCAATCATGCATGTGGAGATTGATTTTTTAGAATATGCATGCCTTTAATCTGTCTATTTTTGAAGATTATTATTGCATTAATTCCTGTCACTTAAAACAAGCATATTTGGTGACTCTACTGCACCGTTTTACCAAAAGGTTTGCAGAAGGTACAAGCAATATCATCAACAGATGCAAATGGTGGCTTCTTCTTTCGAATCAGTGGCTAGTCTCAGTGCTGCCACCCCGTATGTTTCCTTGGCTCTCAAGACAGTCTCTAGCAATTTCAGGTCTCTGAAACATGGCATCTCAGAGCAGCTCAAGCTCGTGACGAAAGCCGTAGGAGACGATCTTTTCTCCCGGAATACAGTTGCGGTGGGCAGTAAAGGTGATACAAGTACATCAAGGTCAATATACATGGATCAAAGCATTCAAAAGAACAAATCTGGTGGGGTTAGTGTGGGTTACCATGAACCCCAACAACACATATGGAGGCCCCAAAGAGGCCTACCAGAACGTTCAGTTGCAATTCTTAGAGCTTGGCTGTTTGAGCATTTTCTACACCCGTGAGTTTCCCATCACCATTCGAATACGTAATTTTCTTAGAATATTTTACTGGATCAACTTTTTTCCCTTGTAGGTACCCCACAGACACTGATAAGCACATGTTAGCTACGCGGACAGGTCTATCTCGTAACCAGGTAAGTCAGCGTCTTGTTTATCTTTCTAATCATTTCTGGCCAAGGGTCACGCTTTCAATTTAGCTGATTGGATTAATTGAAACAATTATGTGTCGGTTTAATTGAAGTTTTTGTTAGTATATGAATTAGCCAAGATATCTTGCTGTCTTGGAATTCCAAGACCGTGAAGCTCTATTTTCACATCTGCTGTTTTCAGTGATCTCGTTTTAGAATGATATTGCATTCATGTGCTCCTATTTGGTTAGAAATTTGTCAACTGCATTTGCTGCATGAGATATACACCTTTAGATTTAGATGTTTGATAAGTTGGCAGATCAGTGCAGGTTTCAAATTGGTTCATTAATGCCCGCGTTCGCGTGTGGAAACCTATGGTTGAGGAAATACATATGCTTGAAACAAAAGGCTCGGCTGAAATTTCTGGAAAGAATGATGGAAATTCTGCAGAGGGTAATATCCAGTCAAATGATGAGCAAACCTCGAAAAAACTTGGTACAAATTCCATGCTAAATAAACAATTGGAATGCTCTGGTATTGTTTCCTCTGGAAGCAGCGGTGAACAACTGGATGAGGAGCAATGGAGTGAAGGGAAGCAGTCAAGAGTAGAATTTCAAGTTCCCCCCACCACCATGGATGGATCATTGATGAATTTTCTGCCGTATCAGAGAAGTGGGATTGATAATGGTGGAGCTGTTTCCCTTACTTTGGGTCTCAGGCAAGGTATTGAAAATGCGCAGCACCAAATACAATTGCAACAGCACAATGGTCAGTTTAAGCAGTCATTTGGAGGCCAGATGATTCATGATTTTGTGGGTTGATATATACACATATATGTCCTTTGTATCGTCAAATGGAAGTTGAAATTGAATAATACTTGCCATAGAAGAATGGCTTCGTTTTTCCACCATTTATCTCGAATGACAAGGCAAGTTATCAGTGGATAATACTTGAATATCTTCTTCAGGCTTTAAATTGCAGCTTACATGTATGGTGGAAAATGTTTTCTATGGCTAACTGTTTCTTGAATGTTCTATTTAACCCTAATCATGGATGGATATGGGGAGAGTTCCCCACTAGCACCTAGCTGTCTAATGTGTCCAGCCAATGAAGCAAAGATGTTGAGGGAAGTCAAGTGAGGATGGTATTTGATGTGATCTCTTGATTATATGGTTAAACAACTCTTAATGAAGCAGATAATTGATAGAACCTGAATTAGAGGTAATCTCGTATTTTATAATTGGGTTCACAAATGATTTTTTATCTAAACACTCTACCCAGACAAATAATGCTATGAAATTAATTATTTTTAATAAATTAGTGTAATAAGATTTTTATCTTTACAAAGAAAAATGGTTGTGTAATAAAACAAATGTGAACTCATGTTTTTTATTTTTAAACTTAGTCTTTTTAATAATAGAATAAATTTCTAAACAAACTTAAATTAAAAATAATTATTTAACAAAAATTAATTAAATAAAATAAGATGATAAAAAATAAAGTTTTCATATTAAAATTTCTTCATGTAGTTTAAATTTCTAATTCTTGCATGTTTTTGGTAAATTTTAATTTTAACTTAAAATACGTTGTTCTTTCTCGTATGAATGAATTACTAGATTTATCATATAAAATTAAAAAACTTAAGGTTTCTAACTTTTAGCACAACTTGAATTGTAGTAAAATTTTGTTTGTATTTTAAAAAATATTATAAACAGTACACAAAGTTCTAGTTTGATAGATTTAATAAGATTCATCATGTAACTTTAACAATTTAAAATAATATCTTTGCAAAATCTATTAACAAAAAAGTTAAATAAAATATGGTTTTATAAATCTAGTATCTCATAGTAAAATTTCAATTCAATCCAATATATAGTTTGAGAGATGTTTGACCTCGCAAAACTAGTTAATAACTATTTTAAGACTAAATTTGTATCTGACTTGGTTTGTAGCTTTCTTTCTTTTTGAAAAAAGATTTTATCTCTAATTTGAATCATAGAAAACATCCTTGAAGGTCAACAAATCAATATTAAGTTGAAAATTATTATCATTATCAAAACCAAAAAGATTCTTATTAGCGAAAAAAGGTTCTCCTAATATTTGTGCTCTTTTGTTTTAGCCATCCTCCCTTTTAATTTTAGTTGTTTATTTTTTGATGTTCTCTCTCTTTCTTTTTATGATATTTGTACATTTTGAGAAAATAAAAACTAAAATAATTATTCTTTATAAAAACCCTACAAGCAAACTATGAACTTAAGATATGAAATCATTGAAAATAAAATTAAAGATAACTAAACCTAAGAAAAACAAAATTAACAAGAAGAAAATAAATAAAATAACCTGATTTTGGATTTTGAATTTTATATCAATTGATACAGATCTCTTGATTACATGGTTAAGCAACACCTAACAAAATAGATAACAACTTGAAAAATAAAAAATTAAGTTTGATAGAACCCTAATCTAGTTGTAACCTTATACCTAAGAACCAAAAGTATTAGAATTGTATTGAAAAAAAAACATGGATCTATAAATAACCTTGTATTTAAGAACCATAAATATGCAAATGATACTATGAAGCTAATTAATTTTTGATAAGTCAGTGTACAATCTTTGTCCCTACAAAGAAATATTGTTTTCTCACAACCAAACAAAAGAAAAATTCATGTTTATTTTTCAAATTTCTTGCTCCAGATATGTCTCAAATAGTACATAAAGATCTAGTTTGACATATTTAACAAGATTTATTAAGTAACTTTGATCATCTAAAATAATAATTTTTCAAACTCTATTTGACCTAACAATTTACCAAAATATAGTTCCACGTATTTGGTATTTCCCTGTAAAATTACAACTCAATCCAATAAATCATTTGAGATATATGCATGACCTCTTAAAACTAGTCAGCAACTATTTTAAAACCAAATTCAGACATAACTATTTTATGGTCAACAAATTAGTACCAAGCTGAAAATTATCATTAAAATCAAGAAGAAACTTGTTAGCAAAAAAAATCCTCCTAATAAGTAAGCTCTCCTTTACAACCATCCTTCCCTTCTTTACTTTTAATTGCTTTTCTTTGGACGTTATAAGCTCTAAACATGAAACAATAAAAAACCAAATTGAAAACAACTAAAGCTAAAAAAACCAAAAACTAACAAGTAGAAAATAAAGTATATAACTTGATTTTGAAGCTTGGTTCTAATACAAAATGATGCAAATCTCTTGATTATGTTGTTAAGCAATCCCAAACGAAGTAAATAACAACTTGAAAAGCTAAAAATTAAAAATGATAAAACTCTAACCTAGATGTAACCCTGTGCTTGAGAATTGAAGGTATTTGAAAAAGACTTGGATCAAGAGATAACCTTGTATTTAAGAACTCTAAATATATGAATGATGCCACGAAGTCAATTAATATTTGATAAGACAATACATGATTTTTATCCCAGTAAATAAAGATTATTTTGCCACAAACAAGTAAAAGAAAAATTCACGTTTTTCTTCATCTTGCTGCTCAAATTTGCAGCTAAAAAAATAATAATATAGTCTAACGGGCCAGAATGAATCCAAATTAAAAATAATTAGTTACTATCAATAAATAAATACAATAGGATAATAAAAACAAAATCTTCATGCTAACATGCCTTCATATTGTCCAAATTTTTAATTTACGTATATTCTTTGCAGATTTCAGTCTTGACTTCGAACATATTGTTCTCTCTTATAAAAATGAATTCTTAGACCTACCATATATAGTTGGAAAACTTGAGATATCTAGTTTCTAGCCTAACTTGAGTTATAATAAAATTCCACTTATATCTCCAGATATGTCTAAAAAATAACATGAAGTTCTAATTTGATAGATTTAACAAGATTTATCTAATAATTTTAATCCTTTAAAATAATTTGTTCCTGAACTTCATTTAACCTAAAAATATATCACAATATAGTTTTACATATCTAATAGTTTCTATAAAATTTCAGCTATATCCTGTATCTATAATTTTAAAGATATATATGATCTTGGAGAACTCGTCAAGAACAATTTTAAGTTTGAATTGGAATATGACTTGCTAATATCAGTACTGGAAGATTGACAAATGATTTCCTAGAAAATTTATGATTACATACTATCATTGTGGTCAACCAAATTTAACGAGAATACTAAATTAGAAATTGGATAATTTACTTAGTCATATTTGATTTTTTTTTCAAAAAAGTTATGATTATTAGTATTTTAGGATCAATTTTAATATATAAACATTAAACACATCTCATGAATTTCATAAAAAAAACTTTGATAAAATTGAAAAATTTGAGAATTTAGATAATTTTTTCCACTAAAGAATAATATGATAAATAAACTACTTTTACTTTATCATTTTTTTTTAGTGTGTTTTTGGTAATATATGTTTTTGTAAAAATATTTTTAATTAAAAATAAATTAAAATAACACACACACACATATTAGTTTTTAACATGAAGAAATTAACAAATTGAAATACTTAAAAAATAATTTAATATCTTTTTAGATAAAAAAAACAATTTTAAAAACACTTTAAAATATAAGTTGAATTGAAAAAACAAACAAATTCTTAGTAGTGATTTTTTAAAAGTTACATTAATAAAAAAGTATCATCAACAAGACATTTGTAAAATAAATATAGAGGTTATTCACTTATTACATGATTTAGCAAATAACCTCATAATGTTTCTAGTATTATTCCTTTTGAAATTAATGCAATAATTTTAATTATTATGTTTGGCCTAAACCTTTAATCCCTTAGTATCCTACCCCACTAAATTCATGTTTGTCTTTTTTTTTTTAATATAAAAAATTAAAATTTAACTGGAAGAGTCAAATTTTCTTCACTATAAAAGTAGAGTTAAAATTGGCGAATCTTAATTTTATTTATGCTAAAATCCTGTTACTTAATTTCTAGAGAAAAGTAAAACTTTTTCACTGCTTAAATAAAATAAAGAAACAATAAATACATCACTATTGCCATCTTGTTAGAACAATTATGTATTAAAATATTTCTATTAAACATTTTTTTATATATATTTTTGAAATGAACCTCATTCTTCAATAATTGATGTGACAATAGCCAGTATACTATTATAATATGGGCATGTGTTACCGTTCAATCAATATGGGTGGCTGGCCCATGATATATTTTTTCCTGTAATAACATAAATAAAAAAAATAAGGCAACACAAGCATTTTCAAATTAAAAAAAAAACCCAAGACTTGAGTTATTAACTTAACTCAAGTTAATAAACTTGTATAATTTTGATAATATATATATTAATCCGAATTCATTTAAGTTAGTATTTAAAACTTGCCACTTAGCTATAACATCAAAGTAAAAATAAATTAAAAATTTAATTATTAATTAATTAAATGTTGAAAAACAAAACTTAAAAAAATTAAATTAAAAAAAAATCCTACTTAACTTGTGTCAATATGCTAACCTCATGAATAAAAAAAGAGAAAAAAAACATAAAAATCAATTCTTAATAAATCAAATATTAAAAAATAATATTGGAACACAAATCAATAAAGAATCTAAAAATGTTTTAAAATTATATTTGTATAATATTAATATATAATTTGGCTTATGTTCGGGTGAGTTTCAAATATGTTTTGATAATATTCATATCCTATTCATTACTAATTGGATAATGTAACCATCTAAAAAAACATTAACTCATTTAAAGTGAGTTGAGGTAGTATCTATTGGGTTCATATCAAATTGCCATCTCTAATGTTGAGAGATATAAATGAAAATAAAATAGAATTAGAAAAATGCTAAAAATTAAAAAAATATCAATTAAAATAATAAAAATTAAATTTAAAATAAAAATTAAATAAAACTAGATGATGAGGGATGAAATTAAAAAAGTAAACTAATGTATAAAAGATAAAAAATAAAATAGATAA